TTGGTAACCCTATTAACACCACAGCAATATACAGATCGTTTTGTAGTGATACAACGAATTCAAACGAGCACCATTGCGCTATTTGAAAAACCTTCATGAAATTAGCTCCATCTCTTCATGTAAGCAAAACCGCCATCCAATCTATCTGTTTTTCTGAATCTGGAATTTCTGAGGAATCGAATGGTGTTGAGAAATTACGTTCGAATCCTTGAAATGAACTGGTCAAGTTGAAGCGATTGCTGTTAAGTTGTTCTCCATTCATCAATTCTATTTTGAGGTTAACGCCGACATATGAAATGCCGAAATATGCCGGATGTGTCTTATAGGCTTATTCAGGGTAGCGTCTCATCACTCTCAAACCTTATTTCAATTTTAGCACTACAGTTTCTTTGAATCGAGCCACTTTTCTTATTTATTGTTAGTTCAGCCGCATCACTGTTTCGCTTTCCTTCATAATATCTCCGAGGAATATGTTGTGTGCTAGATTCAAATGAACATTAAACAAGCAAATTGGCACAACGCGACCAAGTTGTTCATCGAAGAGGATATCGCATGTAGTGCTGATGCTTCAACTTATGAGTTGCTATGAAAATCAAAGAACAAGAGCATTTGTGGCAACAAGTTCCACCATATAGTCGAATTTTTGATTGTTCGAGTCAGCAGCCTTCTGAGATCGCGTTCGACTTTGATCAGTTTCACTGAAATGGTTGTGGAATTTCGGATACTAGAGGGGTGACTTTTTTCAGGTTTTCTATTGATGGACGACGTATCCGTTGACAAAGATCGGGATAATCGATGGCGGGATATGCACCGATTTACAGATCGTAAATCTGCATTTGCACATCCTGCGTTTGAACCAGGTGTTCAGGTATAACGTTTAGGTTTCTATATTCATACATTTCAGATCCAAATACACAGCACTTCTCTTGAAGGCACGTGTTAATGATGAATAAACAAATAACTTTCGGTACCGTTGCTGATAACGGGCGCCACCTCGCCATCACAGATGCTTGTGTGCTCATACGCTTCTCACGTAAGCCTAAGCCTATGCGTTAGGCTCATCACTGAGCTAAGCGTAAGTCTAAGCTTAAACATACTCCTGATTTGACTTCGAATTGCATATCTAAACATGGAGCAAAGCGGTAATCTAAGCACTTGCGCACAGGGGCGCCCGTTATCAGCAAAAGTGTTTAACTTTCTTTCAAATTGCGATAATATGGAATTGAAGAGCAGATTAATGTAGCTGTATTCTTTGCTATCGTTAGGTGAACTTACTGAAAGCTGTCTTTTATGTCGCGCTTTTTACACGTAAAGGAGCCGACGAAACATTAGAAGCCCTGTGAACGTACAAAAAATTAATTTTAATCCGTTTTGGACAGGTTGTCACATCTTCAAACGTTCTTCTTTACGATAAAAGTTGTTGGGCTTACAATTAGGTCGAATGCAGCAGGAAGTTGTTGAGTTCATGGCGAAGATACCCATACCTTCCCTTTCTTACCGAAATTGTGATAAAGGGTTGTTTCAGTTTCAAATAATCATGTTTTCAGAATTTAGTTGCAGTGCATAATTGTCGTGTTCTGGTGGTTGGAGCTGGTGGTTTGGGCTGCGAACTGCTTAAAGATTTGGTTAGGGAGCATTTATATTCATGATGACAAAACGTCATATTGTCAGTTGTTTCATTTTCTTCTTATCTTGCTCTATGGTTGTCGATTTTTCAGGCTTTAAGTGGATTTCGTAAGTTACAAGTGATTGATATGGATACTATTGAATTGTCGAATCTTAATCGTCAATTTCTTTTCCGGTTTGTTGCTCTGCAATAATTAGTTGCATCAAACCATTTCTAATTAGGTCAAATAATTATTATCATGTTTGATATAAATGATTGGAACACCTCACCTTCCCATTTATTCGCTCTCTCACGTCAGTAAACATATCTCCAAGATCGTTTAAATATCACACGGCTACAGGAAGTTTTCAGCTTCTACTTATGAAAATAATGCGAAGAGAATTATCTAATATTAGACTCTTTCGAACTGCTCCATAACCACGTTGCCTGGCTGCACACCGGTATCTTCAGCTGTTCATCACCCGCTTTCCTCCTCACTTTCAATTTCCAACCTATTTTCACCTCCTTCCTGAAGCTGTAATGGCCATTACTAGAAGAATAGTACAAGATAATCGCTTTTTTTGGCACCATTGTTTACTTATAGTTTTTAAAAATATTGAGTCACGTTCGTTGAATATGTTTGATGTTTTGAGGGAAACTGACATCGGCAAATCAAAAGCGATTGTAGCAGCCGATTTTATACGGAAGCGTGTCCCAGACTGTGAAGTTATCGCGTTAGCTGTTACTCAAACATTACTATTCTTATCGCTTCGTTCATTCATGTATCTTGTAGAAGTTCAGGAAATATTTTTGCCATAAACCTGATCGGCTTTCTGTAATCTATTTTGCAAACTACATCAGTGTCTTCTACAACCGGTCATGACTCTTCTAAGACGTTTGTTCATCTAAATAAATTCAAAGAATATGCATATAACTCAATAATAACAATCTTAATTTTCACTGTAGTAAACATACAAAATCTAAACATTGAAACAACTTTAGAGGGTACAACTTTGATAAAAGTCCATGAAAGGGCGGCCAATAGTATTCTAGCATAAATTATCGCAAAGAAAGATGCTAAAAACATGCGAAATGAAGCATTGATTGAATGGGAGAAAAAAAACAAGAATAACATGAATAATGATAGTAAGAAAAAGCCTCAAAAACTTGATTGAGGTGTTCAGATTAGTTGAGCCTAAGTGTTTAATTTTAAACTTTTATGGTGGCCAAACAAATTAAAGAGGCAGTATCGTGTTGATATCTGAATTGAAATAATTTCAGTCATAATTGTAAAATTCAAGACAAAAGCGACGATTTCTATCGTTCATTCGATATTGTCATTTGTGGTCTTGATTCGATTGTTGCGAGGCGATGGCTAAACGCTAAATTGGTCTATATTTGGTTTATGTTTTCATTTCTTTCATAACAAACAAAATCGACCTGTTGCACTTGCGTTCTTACAGTCGAACAAAGTCTATGTTGAAGTCGGAACTCACGTTGATTTGCTGGAGAACTTCATCATGAATGCTTCAGAATATTTTATTTTTAAGTATTTTCCTTCAATGATTTTCATTTCGTATTGCAAAGTATATAGATGTGTAGAAGTGTTGCGTAGTCTTACCAACTTCAATTGTTGTGAACTATACACACGTTAGTGCAGAAATTCCGAAAATGTGTATCACTTATATGAGATATCTTATTTTTGTGGGCGATTTTGAAGGATTCATTCAGGTAAGCTTAGTGGAATTCGACAGCGATGGAAATCCGATGGGTATAATTCCACTGATTGATGGAGGAACAGAAGGATTTAAAGGGAATTCACGAGTGATCCTACCTACAATGACTGCTTGCGTTGAGTGCACCATTGATCTCTACCCCCCTCAGGTATGTGTTTAACTCAATGACCAAAGTGCTCCTCAAATATTTTTCACATTCTCTTATTGTATTTTATTTTTTCATTATACGATTTGCATATACAAACTGAAGTATATTCACATATCTGTTTCCACTGAATTGAAGCATCTCATTAAGCTCAAGAACCTTTTGTAAAGGCCGAATAGGTAAGGTATTGTTAGATTTTGTCCATCTTTCCATCACATTTTATTCAAACTTTCTTAGGTTTCAGTGAATATCAAGAACTGTTTTTTTCGTATTCAGTCAAGGTTTTTACACTTGCGAGTAGGTTCTTTGAAATGGATCACAAGACAGAATATCATATCATTGCTTCAGTTTATATAAGCTTTCCTTGACACTCCTATAAAGATGTGAAGAATGGCACACCTTACATTCATTGAATGTTGTCTTTGTCTTCGAGGTTTTCATGCTATTAAGAACTAACGATCACATGTTCGGATTTCGACGTTTATTGTGAGATTCTTTACTACATCTAGATCAGTGAGGTAATTTAAGAAGGTCATGTGGAAACTGAAATAATAGTTTGGAAGAAAATTTTTTTGAATTTATTCATGTGGACATCTTACATGTTTGTAATGATAACGAGCATTGAATCCAGTTCTCTATTGTATCTTATTTTAACCTGTAGAACATTTTATTTCGAACCGATATTTCGTTAAGATCTCAATAAATGTTCCGATTACTTCTTTAGTTACAGTACGTTATACCGTCATCTTATTCTCATCACCAAACGATATTATTCATGGGAATGGGAAGGAATGGTAATGTTGCATATTAGATTTTCTAGGTTAACTATCCCTTATGCACATTGGCAAATACTCCTCGGCTTCCGGAGCATTGTGTGGAATATGTGAAAATGATTCAATGGGATACTGAAAAACCGTTCGACGGTAAATTTTTCTCGTTATTGAACGATTAAATAATTACATTTCATCAGGATATATTGCATAATTTTTATTTGTGATAACCAAACTCTTCTTTTATCCGTAACTTTATAATCTATGTCTATAATTGAATAGCTCTTTATTTATCCACCTAAGTGAATGCTTCGTTAATGAATGCTTTATGTTCAATTCGCTTGTAGCATTGTTGAAAAAGAACACGTTTGTAGTCGTGATGTGATGTTTGCGTGGGATTGAACAAATTTACTTTTGGGTTCTGTGGATTTTTCGATGTTCTCAATTCATTGTTTTGTCAGCTGTTCATTCTAAATCTGCGACAGTAAGCATGAAAAAAATTCATGAATAGTGTATGGTAACGTCGAAGCGTTTCAGGTGCAGCGTTGAATACGGACGATCCAGAGCATGTGGATTGGGTTTACAATGCTGCGTTGAAACGGGCTTCAAAATACGGTATTGAAGGTGTTAATTTACGATTAACTCAAGGAGTTTTGAAACGAATTATACCCGCAGTTGCATCAACCAATGCTGTTATTGCAGGTTTGATTACTGTTAAATTATCTATGGCAGTTTTATTGTTCATTTAACATTGATTTGCTTAGCAGCAGGCTTCATTCTGTAGGGTTGAAAAATGTTTTTCAAAACGTTTTGGCAAAAATTCTCATTTGCATTTAATGAGCAACAGACAACTCATCATTTGAGGGAAACTGTTATATCAATTAGATGTATGAATGAATATCCTGTAATTTTACTATTGTTGTTTCTCACTTCAGCTTCATGCGCTTTGGAGGCTGTCAAACTCGCATCGAAGTTAGTCATGATGAAACCTTTCTGGTTTATTTTTGATTAGGATTCACCGATTTTATGCGAATTAGTTGCTGTTACATCTGATAATTCAAGTCATCAAAAAGATGGATAATTCCTTTTTGTTTTCTTTCAGCTGATCAAAGTCGTGTAGTTATTTCTTATTTGTTCACTTTGTCAAATGATTTCAAACTGTTTAGCATTTTTGAATTATCTTCACATAATATTTTGCCACTATTGAAATTAAGGAGGGCCAGTCATCGTTCGTTCCCATTTACTGATGTGTTCACAACCAAAATTTTTCTGCTCTAGCGTTCTTTAATATTCATATTCACATTCACCAATTTCAGTATTGCATGTCCGTTGTCAAATTATCTGAATTTTTCGAACATTGAAGGTGTTTTCATGGGCGTTGTGCAGTTAGATAAAAGGGTTTGTTTCATTCATTTTCTATTGCTCCATCAATGATCAGTGTCCAGCTTTTGATTGTTTTGAAAGCTTCAAATACTTCCGTGAACTTTTTGCTTACCGCTGGAGCATTCTTCTGACGATCTTTTTTGTGACAATCTTCGCATTTTCTTTTGTGCAGTAGTCTTCTCCGGATTTGGCTGTCAACGTTTCTGATGTACTCGTTTATGACTACACTTAGTTGCCTCTGATTGTTTTTTCATGTTTGTTTCCTACTATTTTGCAGACCGATTGTATTGTTTGTAGTCAGCAAGCTCATTATGTGGATGTACCTTCGAAGCAAACTTTAGAATATTTTATTCAAGCGATCATCAAAAAATTGTAAGTCTTCTGCTATGTTTTATAACGATAGTCAAGCATCTCCAGGCTATCGTATGAGAACAGTCAATTAAGAAATATGATCAGATTTTAAGTGTGTCATATAATTTATCATCGTTTAATGTTATCCACTCGGTAATATTGTTCGAATTATTTCCGTTTGAAAACCTAATCATCATTTTACCTGGAAATTTTTCCTCGACGAATATTTCCATAAGTTAGTGGTCGTCTTGCGTGGCATTACTTGATGATTTTGTGAGAATTGCAGTTAGATATTTGTTTTCAGTCAACTACATAATCCATCGTTACAAACCGCAAAGAATAAGCTGTATATGAAAAGCGAATTGATTCCCGAGTTGACTAAGATCAGCGCTGCTAATCTTTCGAAGACGTTCAAGGGTTATTGCATTTTTTTTAATTCCGTAAAAATTTAAATAATTTCTTCTGTTTGGATTTCGTCACCGTCTAAGCTATGTTTGAAAGCCCGCCACGGAAAGTTGACGATGAACTTGAGAACGACGCATAAATTTGTAGGTGTGCTCGAAGCACGTTATTGCCCTTGTTTCTTTTCTCAAAAAAACACCCAATCGAAGGAGAAATATCGATTAAGTGGAGAGAAGTGTTGCCATTTTACTGGAGTTATTCGACAACTGTATTTCATTTTATTATAGAATTGGGATTATTTGACGGTGATGAAGTTTTGGTAGCGGACGAAACGCGTACACAGCCAATATCTTTGCGAATACGGATACACGATGAATGAATGATGCTTATCTGTGATAAAAAATTTCAAATCATTCATCGGAGCTGATATAAGCATTTATCTTTATTCGTTCACAAGTGCTCACTTACTCAACTCAAGTTTTTTGCATCATTAAAGAGATGAGCAAACTTTTTTGTTTAAAATTTCATTCCCATTGTCGAAATTTACTTCCAAAATTATATTATTTTAATGGTTTTTTGTGAATGAGGCAGCGAATTCAGTTTTCGAATGATTTGGTTCCAACTTTATTGTTTCTCCCTCATTTGCCTCATAAATCTGTCTCTGGCACTATATGGGTGGCCATATTTTCTTTGTAAGCAACTCTATTGCCAAACCATTTCATAATTGAGATCAGTAAGTACAATCAATTCCCTTGAATATTTCAATGCATAGAACAGAATCAATCAATTTTTTTTTCTTGAATCCTGCGATTCGGGTTCAATAGTGGAGAAAGCTTATCTATTTCATATCCCGTGCGTAAAACTTGCGCATAATTCACAGTCTTCAAGCTGATGGCTTCAGTATTTTGAATTTTCTCTAAAGATCTCTTCTCGTCTCCATGTGATCGCTACGAACCACATTGCGAACCGTCTTGACCATATCTAGTGGTTATAAATGTTGGAAGAAGCCAGTATACATTTTATGTTATTATTGTTTTCGTTTCAGGATGTGTTGACTATAGTGCAACAAAAAGTTACGCAAAAATGAAAATGTCATTTTCTGGGGCCATTTTTCTGCATGAAATCCAGAAACAAAAGTTATCATTATGCGCAGTTTTCTGCAAGTGACCGTCCAAGTCCGGAAAATAACTGAAAAGCATGAATTCCACTGCTCGAAACAGTTGGCTTATCACCCTCCCCCAAACTGAAAAATAGAATCAGCAGTTAGGTGTTGTGTATCACAGATCCAGGAATGCAGTCTTGGAAGACGGTTCAAGCAACAGCATACCTAAGTATCTCATTCATAAATATAAAACAATAATTTCCAATCTAGAATTACACAACACGTTCACCACAGCGTACTGCACACTTTTCACAAACCAGATACCTATGACACCCATTCAAAAAAATTCATTTTAGAACCAAAAATCCCATCATATGAGGCAATAAAAAACTTTCCACAACTTTTAACGCAACCGAATAATAATAATAATAATAATAATAATAGATGAATTCAGAAATACTCTTTCTCGCACCAAACCAGTGATATTTTCTGCCGCACCAAAGAACTCAAACGTTTCTCATTGCTCATGAGAGACGATGTTAGCTACTATATTAAAGAACTTACAAAACACTTGTGACTACTTCAAGCTAACTTTTGTTCAGGCCTAGAAGAACTAAAGATAATTTCAAAATAGGAGAAAGAAGAGAGTGTTGGCATAAGTGAACCGCGTTAGATATCCAAGTGAGAAAAACAATGGCGTTCCATCATAGCATGATAACTCGTCGAAATATTAGTTTGCCGACCTCCTCAATTACCCCCTACCCTCCCTGACACCTCTAAATTACTCTCTAGGAGGTGATTCATCCCCTGTGAGAATCACTGCAGTAGATGAAAGAAGAATTCAGAGTAAACGATTTCTTTGTTAAATAATTTGTTCTTTGGAGATACCATTGATAAATTCAGAGAACTTTTCCTGAAATGGTAGGAGCCCGCTTTCCGATTCTGCGTATTTCACTGCACGTACGTTAAAAATTTTCAGCTTCACTGAGTATGAAAAGTCATGGAAATTCGTGCTTTTTTCCGGACTTTGATGTTTATTCATAAAAACTGTGCGTAGCGGCGGAAAAAGTTCTTTTCCAGGTTCTACGTACAAAATTGCCCCAAAAGTTAATATTTTGTAATTTTTTGTTACGATATTGAAATGATGTTGCCCTTTGTTGATTTCCAGCGACTCATTGATCTTGGTCTATGTTCGTCAGAGTTGAATTCTACCACGTTTTTGCTCCGGTTTTTCATTCTCAATCAAAACATTCGTGTTCATTTGATTATTTGTTTATCCACTTCTGGAAATTCCATGCGCGAAATTTCCATAATTTGATGTATTTTCATCATCATTAAATTATTTTATCCTGCTTTTGAAACGAGTGACCTTCGAAGCATGCATCGTTTTTTATGCAAAATTTACCGCTGAGCGAGAGTGTCTATGAGCAAATACAGAAAAAAACAAGATTCAGCAGTTTTCACTCGGTTTAATTTGGTAGCATTTCTGCCGATCATCGTTCAATGAATTCGAAATGTTGTCATTAAGATGGCCGTTAGCAAAGCAATTAGTATGGAAAAAACTGGAAGGTTCAGATCAGTTTGTTTAACAGATGTTTAGAAGAATGTTTCTAATTGAGTCTACGATCAACGAAAGTATTTCAATAAACAGTCGGCGAAAAATGTCTGCACATCTGTGTAGTGACTGTACGGTTCATATTTTGCACATTACACATGTGTGGATAATGTTCAACTTTGAAAAGAAGCACTTTTAGTGTCTTGAACCAATAATCGCATCGCATCGCTCGTTAGCTGCGAGTAGCTGAGGTGGAGCAGAAAGAATGTCGAGAATGCTGAATAATTAATCGAAGAATATCCATCCATTTTTTTGCATGTAAAAGTGTGCTGCTGTTCAATATTACCCTGTTTACTTAATAAAGTTTTCTGTTCTGAAAGATTTTTTTTCACAAGTGCTAAATAGTTATAACCATTGGAAATTATTGAGTGAATGTAGAGGTGATTCGATTACATTGATAAAACTGTTCGATTGGGATTTGGCCGAATCAACTTGAGCATCCCGAAAATCGGCAGTCCGACCGAAGTTCAAAATTCTTCAGTCGGAATTTCGACCAAACTTCGGTCGGGTACCGTCACTGGTTCGCACATAAAAACTTCCGAATGTCGCCAGTGAAATCTAGCAGTTCGTGTAAGCAACAGTGCATGGAAATATGTATTTATGTGTAGGTCGAAAGCAAAATTTTACGGTATTTTCGGTTGTTTGCTGGCGTTATCTTCGAGCGGAACTTCTGGTCACGCTTAGATGGTCGGTCCATGTTTGTGTTGTATGCAATCCAAAAATTGGATTGAGAATAACTTTTTGTTGTTTATCGCAATCACTCATCATTCTCGATCTCATCTACGACAGTCATTTCCGAACGAGAAAAAGCAAAACGAATAAGATAAAACACGTTGAACCAATCACTGGGATAAGAATGAATAATTGTTGAGGCAAATAAGTAAGTATACGCTGTGCAAGAAGCTGTCAGGCTAACTTACGGATTTAGATTCATTTAAAAGCGTTGTTTTCGTTATCTCGTTATTGAATCTGCTGGTTTGGTTTCATTCAAAAAAGAATGTTCAGAAACGAATGGAGTCATACTTACTGAGCAATGTCCCAGATACAATGCATATGGCCCGATGCATTTAGAGATATATGTTCTTTATTATCTGATTGCAACGCTAGATCTTGTTAAAAACATTTTGTTTGTCTCACATTTGTTTTCAGTTTACTTCTTCTTTAATATATGCTGGTGTTTTTATCATTCGGTTGTGGCCTCTTTACTAACAAGCCATCAGACAACAAGTTAGTTCGCCCTCATGCTCACATTGCAACTTATTGTTTACCAGTGTGCTCTTTACAATTAATCCTGTTGAATTACACACCTCCGATCATAGCCTTCTTCATGTTCGATCTATTCATCTCTATTTTTCATTTATCACTAATTTTTCTCCGTAATTCAACAGTTTTTTTTAAATCAAAAACTTGTGAGTATGTGAATTGATTGATCAGATGGTGGTAGAGGAAACAGGTTTTATTTAACAGATTATAACGGCTATGCGACTGGATTTGGTTCGAGTGGCTTCTCTAGAAATTTTGATGAAATCGCTCAAATACTGCATAAATTTATAACATTCTCGTATTACTTATATGTTCATGAGATCTACGAGAGCAACAAAGAGTTATAATCCGATTCGAGATCAGAAGTGCGTATTGATCAGCGGCCTCATTGATATCTACGTTAATGCAGTAACGGATATGTTGTCTTCAGATAAGATGCTTAGCACATACGTTATCATCGTCTTTCTGCTGAGTGGTGCCTATTTGGTAGCTGCTGATCCTCCAATGAACACCACAGGTTGAATTTATCTGTTTTTCATACGATTGATACTTATTAAATTAGAGGTTTAGTATTCAGTTTTTGCCAAACTGAATACTAAACCTGAGGTATAATTAAAATCGAACGTCCAAATTAAGGTTGTTGATGCGAGATCAGTAAGACTGCACAATTAAGCCAGTCAACACGTTTTCGCACAACTGATTGCATTGCATGATGCACTTAGCAGGCCATAAGTAGAATAATCATTTACACCATATATTCGCCGCACTTTTGCCATATGAATAGTTTATGATTATATCCATATTCAAAGCAAACTCAACAACCATTCTCAGAGAGCGAAATAGCGACCGCACAATACAGCTCAAAATCAGATTTGATACGAAGAAATTATTATTGGTATACGAAACACAAACACGAACGTATCAAAAACAAAGTACTTCCAATGGCACTTGATAATCGCTCGCCTGAAGACGCACTCTGTGAGGTATTTAAATGTTCTGATTTAAATGATTGGCGTTAAATTTGCTTAGAACGTGATTCGTCTATGTTTCATCTGACGGTAAGCATATTCAACGATAAGTTCACTAGAGTATTCATTGAAACGAACAGAACGCTTAGAGTTTCGCTTGAAATTTCGAATCAGTTGACGGCCACTGTTGGAAATATCAATAGTTTTGTTTGAACTGGCCAATATTATTGAACATATAAATTTATCCGGCTTGAGCGTATGTATAAGCATAAGGCTAAGGCCAGATAGAAGTTCAAGCCTAACTGTTAGCCCGAGGTCAAGCCTAAGCCTGAGCTCGAGCCGGTCAGAACTTTTTAATCATCCGTAATTTTTTGCGATGTCCGTAATTTAAGAGTTAATCTGTTTGGAAATTTTCGTCTCAAGAAGTAATGTGTGCTTGTGAGTGAGCATATTGGGAACTTGCAGATATTGATGAACACGGTCAGTTGCGATGATATTAGGACAGCGTTAACGAATTACAGTGGGTATACGCCGGAGACAGATCAAGAAATACCTACGTGAAAATCGCTCCACTATTACTTCTCTATTTCTTGCTCTGAGATCACTGTCTTTGAAATTGAATATCTAGATATATTTGTAGCGATTGCTTTACAACCGTTTTTAAAATCCGTTCAGTGCGTATCGTTTCCTACTCGTTCACAGCGTAGCATAAATGATTCGCACGATCAACATGCACTCTTCATGAAATTTTCAATGAGAAACAGCCCCAAAAGCTGATTATTATAGATTCTTTTGGTATCTAGTGAATTTACTGATTCACTTTGATTCTCAACAAGCAGATTCGATGGAAATCGAATAAATGGTCGTATTAGGCCACTCTTTTGGGCTGAAAGTAAAATCAGTTATTTATTAAATACCAGAAAAGCAGTTGTTGTCTCAGTCTCAATATCAATTTTACATAAGGAAATTATACGTCCTGATTTTATTCGATCCTTTCCACAATACGGCATAATTTCTATGCATAGCAAGGAATTTTTAAATGAAGATCCAAATTCTACAAAATTACCCAATGATAGATTCAAATTGTGGAATGTTTTTTGTAATGTAACAAATAATATTTCATACGCCCCGAATCGTCATGGGTATTATTGTTTAAACAATGGACCCTTCATAGTTCAACGTTCGCATTTTGGGAAATGATTTCCATTAAAAAAATTCAACATTTCGTTTTAAAAAATCTTTTTTAGTTCTTTATCATATTCTGAATTCTGGAAACCGTCTGCCACTGGAACTGCTAATACTCTGCTTTATAAATAAAAGTTCACAATAACGAGGATTGAGTAGGATGCAATCATTCATTTCGTTTGCAACTGATTATTGTTGAAAAACCTGTTTCAGTTTACGATAAACGCGGGTTATGACCAAATTTCTGTCAAGAACTGAGGTGGTAAACTAAAGTTTCACTGCGGTTATGTACCATACTAATCATGCAATATTCGGATATGTATTAAAATTGAATAGAAATGTTAGCTTTATGTTGAGCCAAATAAAATTGACGAAACTTTATCATTTTTTACCGTTTTGACGGTTCAGTGTTCTCGTTTTGGGACCATGACAAGAAATCGGAACAGACAGCAAACATTACGAAAGGTAAGGTTACATTGTTCTTAGTTAGCCTGATTTGAGCAACCTATAAAGAGTCGTGAAGTTTTAATTCAATCAGCTTCAAAGGTTAAAAGGATATGTGTTTCGGTTTTACTTGAAATGCGGTGGTTTGATCGATCGAACATTCATCATGAAAGACAATCAAAGGAAGAGGAGTATATCCTGGAGAACGCTGGCCTGAACATAACTTGCTATTCATGAGCGATAATAAATGCCCAGTCTCTTATCCGATTCATGTTGTTGACAGTTGTGTTCACCAACTTCCGTTTGTAACATTTCTCTCTAACTAGAGCATAATATCTGAAGTTGTCTGTCATCGGTTCAAGAACTCAGCAGCTGCGAATGTGGGACATCAGAGCACAGGAAGATATTTCGAGTTGTTTTGATAACCAATACAGCAATTTCTACTGACAATGGCAGAAACATTATAATGCTAACAAAAACTAAGTGAAAGAATAGCTGAATGCAGCATCTTCCAAGATAATAAGTTACTTGGAAATATCACAATCATGCAGACTTAATCAACACAGTATGAACTAGTTGGCCTTTCAGCTGTTCGGTTTGTAAGAGAAGAATTACGAAGTTATGAGAAGTCGGAATTTCTTCTCGAAAGGCCACGTATTCACCCTGTGGGAGCTCGATCGGAAATTAAAATTTCAAATAATAAGCACAAGTAGATACATTCTTTGGCTGTGCATCACTCTGAACTGTACAGCTGAAAGATCTGTTCAAATAAGCGATTCATAATGATTACTGAAGAATGGCACTATAGTTGACAATATTAATCCAGTCCTTTAGCTGGTTCCATTAGATGTAAAGGTACGGGTTTGGGTGCTTCAATAAGTCCACATTGAATGGCTTTTTGACGGATGGAATCGAGTTCAGCCTTTCGTCGCTTTACTTCCTCTCTTAAGGCATCGCTAAACTTCGTTCGTGATTCGTTCGCTAGTAATCGTGCCGAGGAAATAATTGTGGCGATATCCATGGCTACACCAAGTACAATAGCTCCTTGGGCAACACCTTGCAGCACTTGACCACCTAATCCTACCTGCATTTTGAGCACATTTGCTCGTAGCAAATACGCACACGTTTCGACCAATTAAACAGACAGGCGATAATCATTCTTGTTATCGTGATTTGCAAACTATTCTCAGTTTAGAAATTATGATACTTCAACTGAATACCATATTTCATAGTATGTTCTAACAAAACTGTACACCAAAATCGTGTCGTCCTACTGACTCAGTACTGAAACACCAACTCACCATTTCGGCCGATCCTACTCCAGCAGCAGTTGCAATTTCGCCTCCAGCAGCACCAACCTGAACATGGTATACAGATCAAAATTTATCACTGTTAGACCCCTCAATATCACAAATTCTTTGGTAACACTCGGTTAACAATATAAAATAAAGTCAATGTAAATATCACATTCAGCAAAATGTTCCATGGCTCAAATCATCATGATCGATTCGAATGAATTCAGTCATGATTCAGAGCATTTTTTCAACCATCACCATTTAATTTTATCAGTCGGTAATGTTGAAATACTTGAAACGGATCGTTTGCATCCATAAAGAATTCAATTTTCATTATTCAGTGGCTATGAGAAATGAAACGGTTGAATGAAAGATCAAAGCAGAATTAGTTTGCAAGCGCCAATTGTTGTCAATGAACCAACCAAGTCAGTAGTCCCAGCACCAGCAACCACAGCAGCGTCTGCACCAGCAACCTCAGCGGCTATCTGCAAGCAAGAATCGATTCCATTGAAAGCCTCAATCATTTTTTCAGCAAAATGCTATCAACTATTGAATCAGAGTAAAGCCATGCGGTAAATCAATGCGTTAACTGTTGACCTCACATCAGTAACTATTTTAACTCGCACTTTATACTTCACAGTTGCCTGAATGGTAATGAATATTAGGTTTAAACTCACTTACCACACCAGCTGCTCCTTCTTCCACTGCTGAAGCAATTTCAATTCCTGGGCCAGCCTGAAAAGAATTTATTGAAACAATTTCAATTCCTGAAAAGAATTTTATTGATAAGCTCATACCAGAAACCTAAATTGTCTGAAGCGGGACATGAGCCTGAGAAGCTGAAATTTGTTGGAGCGAAGCAAACTTTTCAATACTTATGCACTAGACAGATAAACAGAAAGTGAAATCAGAATAAAAGAATGCACTGAGTAAGTGATATAAGGACAAAGTTTTGAAAAATTTCACACGATAATTGAGCGAGTTATTATAAGGTAGATATAATGAGTCGTTGAATGAACTAAGATAACACTTTACGGTTTCATTAGAAAACAATTATTAAACTCAAAAACCATCTCAGCTGCTCCTTTCTCAGCAGTTGCGATACGTTGACCAGAGCGAATCTGCAAAAAGAAATTTGCATTTCTTTTCAGGATCACTGAAGACCATTAAGTCTGTTCTATACATTGCTAATAAGATGTTCCGCTGACTTTATGTTGACAATGAGTAAAACTTCGTTTGAATAATAGGAGAATATTCACACACAATGCAGTCTGAAGCGTTTATGAAATGGCACGTTCAAGCGTTCACATTTTAGTTTGTTCTAACCATTTTAGACGCAGCTCGTCTTCCCGCAATGGCCGCAAACTCTGCACCAGAACCAATCTGAAAACGTTGTATCGGATGAATAGAGAAAAGATGGAACTGCAATGAAGATTTCTCACCGTAATTGCATTTAAAGTGAAACAAGTTTCAGGACAGATAAAAACTTTCAACTAATTAAGATATGAAAGATTTAAGTGAATGCTGGAATAATATCGATTTCATGCATCATCTAGAAGAAATAGACGTAAACGAATTTTCTGGATGATCATTTCAAGTGAATGCTGTGATATTTGCACATACCATTTCGCTCGCTCCTCGACCTACGGCGCTTGCGAGTTTGACCTCAGGTGCAACCTTCAATTTATTACACTTACATGAATAAATTCAGAAATAATGCCGCTTATTGAATATGATAGTTCATCATAGGACATTTATTAATTCATTTGTATAAAATTGTTACGCAAAACAATGAAATTTAATTCATCTACTAGGAACTGTTCCACTTATTTGAAATAATTAAAAAGTAAAAGCGAAGTAAGTCCAGAATAAACTAAAGTTTTCTGTAATGTATTGGGAATGCTTTATTGGTAATCTATTTTCATCCAAAAAGAAAACAAATTAGAGGAAAAAATTACAATTTTACTAGTTCCTTCTTCAGTTGTTGCAATATTTACCTGGAAATTGAACAATTAATAAAAAAAACTGTTCTAATTTCACAACAAATTCGCATGTTTTGGATGAATCATCACGATATTTTCGTTATATATGAATGATACATCTTATTCAGAAAAATCTGCCTACCACGTCATCCTCGTAAACTTTTCGATAAATGTTATTAAGTTGCATTACGAGTTTAGCATCTCTTTCACATAACTGTTTTACTTCATCGCCCAACTCCGTTGGAGTTAGCTTATATTCAGCAACTTGTGTTCCGATATTCCATACCGCCGCCATTCCAGCCGCAATGCCACCTGTCCATACGCATCAATATGTGAAATTAGTATGTTTCATTGTTTCATAAAACAATTTCAGCAGAGAATTCACAATAAAATTTAAATGTCATAAGAAACTTCATCTCAAATTTTCATGCGATTCTGGTTGCTTCAGTTCAAGACTGCGAAAACTTTTCGCATTTATTCATTAGTTACGATGAAAAGCAACGATGTAAACATACCAAAAACTACAATCGGTGGAAAGGCGACAAGTCCAGCCAATGCGGTCGCCCCTCCGCCAAGCCCGACCGAACTTCCGGCCAGCTTTGATATGGCACATCCTTTTGACACGCCAACCGCCTAAAATGGCCAGCAATCAATTTATATTTGTGCTCTACGAGAGTTGAAAGCCCACTGGTCACAGCACATATCTGACCAACAATCAACAGCCGTCTACAGCTGAGTATTGCAAATTATTTCATTCCTTGGAGTAGTCAACATATTCATTGAACAAGTTTCCAATCATCTAAGCCGTGGAATGTGCCAAAATCTCGTAAAAATTGCAAAAAATAAGTTCAAGTGTTACCTTATCAGCAATCTTCTCCAGTTCAAAAATCAATTTTTTGCGGTTATCGATGAAGTCGTTGTATACGAGTTGAAATTCTTGCTTAAGATTGGCGCGTTCCTCATCACTGAGATGTTCTTGTTTTGTTACTGGCTACAATAAAATACAAGTGATTTGGAAATTTTCGGAACATCCCAATGCAAAACAATGAGGTCATTTCTATTTATGTGATTTCGCTACTTAAAAATATGCTCTGCTTAACAATTGCTAGTTGAAAACATTCATGCAAAAAAAAGATTGGAAATTAAAACACACGAGCATTTAATTTCTAGCAGTGGCTATCAAAATTATCAGCTAAGCAGTTGTCGTGCCAACAGCAAGCTTCGAATCTCACGATCTTTGCCAAAGTCGTCGATGAACTTGCCTAGCTGCAAGTAAAGCGATTTCGATTCGATTATTTCCTCATCACTAAATTTGTTGTTGTGCAATAGTGTTACTACTACACGTTATACAGCAAGCGCATATCACACGACGTGAATAATTCAAAAACACTTTAAAGCAAACAGACTCAGTTCAGTCATTTGCAATTCGTCGTTTCGGGCATTTGCTAGATAAAACCGATAAATTGTGTGTCAGATATGGTGAATACTGAATGTAACACAGTCGGATGTGTATTTCTTTTATCGCTCGAATGTCGCAGCAAAAATTTTGCATGATGCAAATTTTGATGCTTTCATACATACTTATTTATAATATGTAAGCATGGATTTAATTACGAAAAACTAAATTCCCTATGCACTGAACAGTTAGTTTGATGAGTTTCATTGTGACCTTGAAAATAAGGCCACAACAAGGGAGCGGAAAAATCATTAGAGGGTTGTAAAGTTGAACAACTGAAGAAGAGGTGAAATGTGAACATAGGAGATGGGATATGAATCAGAATTTAAACATTGTTGTGAATGAATGTGGCAATGAATCGATGAATGAATCATCTCGTCGGATTAGCTTAGCTGCACTACGTTGAAATAACATCGCATATTGATTCGTTTTTTTTTTGTTATTCTCACTTCAACCAGTTTTTGTTGCATGCCGCTGATTGCGACTTAGAAGCCAGCTCGCTCACAACATTTTAACTGTCACTAATAGTATTTTTCTCACGAAACGTTTGCGTTGGGTGAAAAACGAGTTACAAAATCATAACGTAGTTACAATTTTTCTTCTACATCTACTTCTTTAATTTGGATACTTCAAAAACAAGCACGGTGAGGAATTAAGATATAAACTTAAAGGAAATTCATTAAGGCGATAGTTTTTTTTTGTAAAATTTATGATTTCCAAAGTTCTATCTCTCTCTCAAAAAAAGTTAATTGCTTTGCGGTCTGAAAGTGACTTTTGTGAATTTTCGTTTCAAAAAATGGTTTGGAAGATCCCGAATCAATTTGCTTCTATCGCCTTAAGCATCATTGAACCCTTTCTGCAGTTTCACCACTCAAAAAGATGCAATTTACCTCGAAAACAACTTGTGTGAAATTTTGATCTAGAAAACAATCTGAAGGATCGCTGGGTTAGGCTGTTTTATCGCGTGAGGCACATATGCAAACAGTGTAGATGGCGCGACTTTTCAAAATAAATTTTTATGGATTAATTTTCATAAGAATTACTTTCAGCCAGAAATACACCATCGCAGGATGTGAGACCAAAAAATTTCAACGCCGAAATTCGTGCTCTACAGCGTCATATGAGAAGAAACAATTTGACCCAACATCATTTTGAATCGCTTTTTTCGAGGCGAAAATTTAATAATTTGTTCTTATACCAAAACCAAAATAAATGTTTTCGAAAAGTGAGACTCATGGTAATCAGAAAATTTAATGCATAGAACCAACGCTTGTGGATGGTTCAAAGCCAGTAATCTTGAAAGTGAAAATATAAAGGCGAGTGGTCTGAATTAACCCGAAATGAATTGATATAGCAGCATCGTGGAATGCAATATTAGATTCAAACCGATGAATCGAAAATTACATATTCCAGATCAGGAACGTTTTCGTCCTTTGTAATATGCATCGTAGCACGTAAACTAGTAGTAGGCATTCATGAATTGGGTGATATGATTAGAACAGGTTTAATACTCTCATTTGGAATAAGGATTGACGGTAGACTAAACAAGTAAATTCACATTAACTCTAGCGCCTGTTCCACAGAAGTAACTCAATGATAGTCGCATGAAAGAAAAACTTTTATACTGTCAGTAATTTAATGAAAAAATCCTCGCGCATAAGTTGAGTTCAGAAATCATGATGCTGAAAAAAGCGCCTTACTCTGATAAGAAATGCTTTTTGAATTACGATATAAAATTGTGTTGAAACTATTTGTAATCGTACATCATGAGCATATATGCGTTGATAGAAATTGGACGTTTTGACTGGATAAGGGCTTGATGTGCTCAGCGAGAAAGACTTCATGTAATTGGGAGATTATCGTTCTGATCATTTGCATAAAAAACTAACGTGAGTTGTTTAATGGAACAGCATATTCTGCCGACGAGTAATTGGCATAATTGGCATGTTTGACTATAACAAACTTGTGAGGAAAATTCAGCTAACGACTAGTGCTTCCAGATGAATTCATGTTGAAGTTTTCGTATATGACTGAGTTCAGTATTTGCTCTTATTTGGACAAATATCCGTCTCCCCTTGTAGATAAAGGATCTTGCAGACTAGTCATACAACGCTCATATTTCTAGGTTCATCATCAAAAGGTTTCACGATCATGATGGGATTGTACCGTTGTAAAACGTATCATAATGAGAGCATGCAACATTGATTTTATGCCTATTTTGGATGGATACCAGTTGTATGAAGTGTTTTCCGTAATACTCGAAACGGCAGTGGTAGCCGACTAATGTTCATCGGAATAATGCAGTAATTTATTTTAAAGGATTGGTAATGTTAAATGATGATTTACAAATATGTGTGAATGAGCTTATGAATGATGGATTTATTTGAAGGCAAAAGTGAAATGTTTATTCAAAAGTGAGTCTTTTTGTTCACACCGACTCGAATAGTTTATCTGAGATCGCATGTAAGCCACTCGCTATTAATCGCAACGCCAACAATCATATCATCGTGCATTAGCACTGAAACTGCAACTGAGATAACGCAATGTCACCAATTGTCCAATTAGATACAAACTCAGCGCACATTTTCTTTTCCTCCTTCCGCTAAATCAAAGTCCCAGCCCATCGGTTATCAAAGAGAAATTTTTGCTTCATTGCTGAACCCCCAATGTATTACGCCTTTTAATGTTTCATCGCAGTCTCATCCCTCTGCAGCTATTGCTCAAATTTACGATTGCTTTTCAATTCACAATTACTTTTGATGGCTCATACCTATCTTTCTGAATGGAATATTAATCGCCTGATGGCATTTCTGATTGATATGTTCCTAGCAATATTAGAAGGCTTTGCTAAGGGCTTAATCGTTAGATGAATATCAATTAATGGATTCACTTTGAGCTAATGCTGGCAAGCGACTTCATTTCGAAATACGTTCGATTATCATCACATTTTTGTTCAAGTCATGTTGTGTGTGATGCAAGAATTTTCACAATGATCTCCGGCTAGTTTTACCGGCACCCTTCGTATTCGGCTGTTAGCAATTCATCGAAATCAAAACTCTTAACAGGATCCAACTGTGATATGTGATTTTATTTAAGTAGTTTTAAGAAATTCATCTAAAATGGATTTTTGAACAAAGTATTACCTGGCAGAATGATTTACTGTATTTGCGAGCACATCTGTGTTGTTCGAAACATGTTTTTGTTGACTGTTGAGGACGCAGCTCGAATTTGAAGTTAAATTTACACGAAAGACTTGTCAACACATGCTATCTGACAACCTAGTGCTGAACATGTCGAAAGAAGCTCGATTATTTGTTCATCCTGCGGATAACCGTTTATGTAACGATGTATAAGGAAGAATCGCATCATGATAACGGACTTCATGTGTAATTGCGTGTGCAGTTGAAAGATAGCTTGTGAATAGAATTAATATGTACCTAACTCGATTCATTTCGAGATTTGATCTCGGTCTATGCAACTTGTCGAAGTGAGCGGTCTAGCACGCTAAATTATAAATTCATGTTTTTAGTCTACAATGACTGCAAACTGTTATTCCCTTAGTGAAATTTCAGACAGCCCTTTGCTGAGAACGATAAGGGAAGTTTGAAGTTTTGTTCTGCTGCATTTATAACTACTGTTTGAGAAGCACAACAAAGCGGAATAACGTGAAATGTGAACGTGATGCCATTATTTGTACTGTTCATCATGCTCGTCGATGTTACCAACTGCCTCAAGTAAGTATCTCTTGTGACCCTCCCTGAACATTCATTCTGAAACATTCCGTTTGAATGTAATCAATGTACAGATATTCCTATGAGCAAAGCTTCAATCGTTCTTTTGCTTCTTTCTATTGTTTCTCACCGGCGACGATGAATGAATTTGAGAAGTTTATCTTATATGAAGAATTGAGTGAAATTCTTCCAACATGTTCTATTGAAGTACACCACGAATGCACTTCAGCAATACATAAGCAAGCTGAATGCAGCGTTCATGTTTAAGAAGAGATTTATGACGTTCTTTTGCTGAATTATTGGTTCTGTTTGGGAATCTCTGCAAAACAAATACATCAAATTTTGTGCATCGTATTGCGACCGGCGTCTTTTTGATGCATTTTTGCAATTGAATACGACTCATTTGTCATCAGTTTCCCAATAAATCAACATTCGCAATCGTTTGTAAGAAGACGAATTCACATGTTGCATGGATTCTTTTCGAATTTTGAAGAATTTTACCGCTTGGATGCCTCACTTCTTAGATCTTTGATGTTCAATGACCCTATTTAAAGATGAATCAACCGACCAGATTAGCACGCATTTCATGAACAGAATGATTCTGATGAAACTCTACATGCATCAAGTATTTTGTAGAGCCAAATTCAAACCTTCAAGCAGTATTGCACTAATTCATTTTCTTAACATACATCTTGTTGCATTTCAGATGTTTCTCATGTGCATCAGCTGACTACGAACCACTTTTTGAGAGATCTGCGACACTGCGGCATTCTTTAAGTATTCCACGATTCGGAGACCTCTGTGATAGTGTTGAAAAGTTGCACGCAATCGCACCTGTTGAAACATGTCCATCTACGTGCATCTCTCTTCTAGAGCCACAATATTTTGGAGGTTCTCATTGCACTGTAACAAATCTTTTTTTCTACCAATCATGCTGGCTCGAATAACCTAAAATTGTTACTGGCCTTGATCTTATGCCAGGAAGTTTACAGCTACCTTAAGTTTTGGCATCGAACATTGCAGTTTTCACGGAGTAGCTGCAAAATAATTGTCAACCAGTGCTGCTGCTATTTTTCATGAAGGCAGTTGATGTAGAAATTGAGAGAACTCGAGAGAGCTTAAATATATAATATATCGATGCGACCCGAAGATCAAGTGACGTATTGATGATTCAACTAAAAATCAGTGCAAGCCAGAAAATAATTTTCTCATCGAAAATGATCATACCCTTTTAAATCCTTCGTTTAATTTTCATCGAGTAATTTGAACTTTGTGCAGGTGTTCAGTTGGATAACACTCCTTACACGTATATTCGTGGATGTGCAAGCACACTGTTTGCATCAATAAGCGACCGCCCTCGCGAGATTGACTTTCTTCATACCGAAGCAATCTGTCTACCTCTTCGACTGTCCCAAATCTGGCCATCGATACAAACTGATGAGCATGTCCAGGTTCGTTTTATAATGTTTATTCAGAAATGACTCGTTCACAGAGTTTTAAAATGGTCTACTGGAGGTCATGAAATATTAAGCAAAACCACAGAAATCGCCAAAAAGCGTGAACTTATATAATGCACCAACACACATTTTTATCTCATCTATGCTATTTTCATAAATCAATTTGAAAATATTCGTTCAAATCAGAACCTTCAACACTAATCTCATGTAATCTTCACTCCAAATCTTCCACACAAAACCGAAAGATGGAAATCAAAATGTGAAGAAATAATTGGTGTGCAACTTTATTTTGATGAAATGCGAATAAAATTAGTAGCAAAAATTTAATGACGCATTTAACATTCAATAATCAATATTCCCTTGTTCTTGTTGTCCATCATTCACTTCCAGTTCACTTTACTCCACATCATTTCCGTGTGAAATTTTCCGATTTTTCTTCCTGCTGCTCCTCACATCATCGAACGAGAATGTTGCTGCAAGTGTTATCAGATAAACTTCGTGTTGAAAATTCTTGGATGTTAGACGAAGTGAATGTAAAGGGCATTAAAAAAAGAAACTTAAAGCATTATTCCAACAAAAACTGCAGTCATCGCGAAATCAGAACATAAGATTCATTGTGTCTTAAAAAGATGTTTGAGGATGCAATACAAGACTTCAGTGATGCTCCATTGCTCGCTCATGGCATAAGTTTCCAAAATCAGATTGAATAGGCTCATTGTTATTGGAATGTAAATTTCAGGTGTGTTCGTGCACGATGGATGCGTGTAATACGAAGATATCAATGACGAATGCATCATTGCAAAACTCATATGCTTATTCGATGATACTTTCTGCCGTGGTAATTATGATGACTGCTTATTGAACCAGTTTATGCGATAGATAAGTGAACATGTATGTTTTGAAAACAAATTACAATGTGAGTCTGAGTGATTATTCGCGATGATTTTGATCTGAATGCACAGTATTGGTATGTTGAATGTTTATATGCATCAGATAAAACAGTTTCATGGAAAATTGTCAAAACTGATGACGGAACGATTACTTCTTTTACCGGCGGATAATTTGTAAACTAGCTCGTCATTGTGTCAATATTGTGAGACAGGGTTTCACATTTTGGGTTGTACCAAGAGTCACTCAAGAGCTACTTTTTTTGTGCGAACAATTGCATCTAGAAACTATTTCTATAGATGAAAAAATCGCTGACTAAAAATTGCTCTCTGACATAACAACTGATCACGGAGCTGAAGAATTCGAAGGTTTGACAAGGCAGTGGATATGGACAGATGCCAGTCAGCTGTCTATTCCTACAACTTCTACACTGATCTTTCACGTTTCTTCGATTCACCTTCACAATTTCATCAAACCCATTTTCAAAAAAAAAACAACGAAATATTTAACGAAAACTTAACATATTAGCGAGGAAGGAGCAATGGTGGTTGACGTTCACGATATTGCAATTCAACACTGAACAGTTATTCGAGAATAACAATTTTCAAAGATGAAGCGAAGATAACATTATGGCTGAATATCGCAAAACATGATTTGTTGATATTGCAGCTCCAGCCAGTGATTAAGAAACATTTTCAGTCGAAGATGAGCGCATAGGTGGCATGTTCTAGAAGTTCTAAAACATGCAAGTTTTAGAAATACGAATGTGTGTAATATCTCAGTGCTGCTCTATTGTAGGTTTAAAAAATGATCGTGTGCTTGCACAACATTCGCATAATATCTGTTTGCATAATCCTAAAGAAGAGATTTTCATTTGAGTTTCTTTGTTAGATTGGCACATGCTCAAGCCATTGAATATAAGTTGTTGCAAACAAGTTGGTCAAACTTGAGCGTACAGCTGACCAAAGAATGGCAAATATCAAAATGTGCATGTTCGCAGTGATGCATTTTCGCTAATAATTCGTAAAAGAATTATTCTTATTGTTCATGACCTTTTATTTCACTTATTTGTTACTTGAATTTTGAGGCACACATATCGACTAATTGATCAACTGAATTGATCAACCGAAGATCAACTCAGAGAATACTCGCTATTTCTGAGCGGTTCCTTTGTTCAGCATTCTCAAGTTATTCAATATGACTGGTTGATGCCAACGGTTTTTAAACATTTGAACAGACTGAATGGGCTAGGCTCAGAAATTTACAAAAAATTGCTTCTTAAAATGTCATGAATGAAATGCCGTCACCATCACCAAATATTCAAATGAGATGAATGAATGCGTACCATTTAGAAGATGAATAAGGATTTGTTTCGTCAAGAAAAAATAAGTGAAGAAAAATCCAACTTAAAATTCAATATTTTTTTGGATCAGACTGTTTTGCATCCCCACTCCCTGGAAAAAACGTTGTATGCGTCGTTGTCCACAAATACTAAAGAAGTTGTTTGTCAAAAATTGAAATGTTCTTAGATCGAATTTGAATGAAAGGGTACTATCTCGGTTAAACACACAATTTGTTTAGTGTTATTGGGAATTGGTTGGTCACAATAATGCTGCTTTCAATAACAAATACTGATTTTTTTCTCAATGCGACGAAAAATTTCAACTTCATTTGATTGTGTTAGTCAGAATGCTTCTAATATTGACAGTCATTGTTGACATACATACTTCAATTTAATTAATGCACCACTCAGTCACTCCGTTACTTGAGCGTTGCTTTCGGATAAACAGGCACGCACCATTTATTTGAGTGCATTCGAACATTCATTCACTGAACATTTCTTCCAATAAGTTCACATAGTATTCCCACTTACACTGAACACAATGAATTTCCCATTTTTCGTTATTGTTCGTCAATAGTTCAACTCCAACTACTGCAACATTCAACAAATTCATATCTCCTTATTTGCAGTCTTTTTTTCTCACCTAAATGATAAGTATTTGAAAAGTTGGAATTATGCAAAATCTCTGAATGTGAATTCATTCGTCCGTTCTACCTGGCACATTTCTTAGTAAAAAATTTGGCTTATGAGAACTTTCCATTGAAAGAAAAGGCATTGTAGGATGTGTCACGCAGATATTATGTAAAGTGTGTTCTGTTATCAAAATACGTCAATGAATAAATCAACTTTGTTATCTTTATTTTACTCGTCAACACAGTTCAATTAATATGAATGTAGTGAATTTTTAGTAGTAGTTCGAAAAAAGACGAGCAATTAATGAAATGTTATAGCCAGACGCCAGGCACATAATGTTTTTGTGGTATTTAGAGAGAATACAACATCCATCTCTGCGAATAATACATAATAGATTTATTTTCTTGTGAAAGGGAATTGGTACGAAATGATAAATGACGAAGATTGTATCCGAAGATTTAAAAGGATTAAGAATTATGACTAGGTTTATCAATAAGGCACAAAACTGAGGAGAGCACAAGCCATAAAGGACAGTAATATAAGGCAGTTGGATTGAGAAGGCAGTGCGAATCCCATTCACTAGGCTATAAACACAACATTACTTATATAAGCAAAGAGAGCAACCAATATACAAAGGCTCACTAGAATGGATGATAGCTAGATTGAACGTGCAATAAATATTGTAAATGCTTCTCTTCTCTTCAAAAAACACCTCTTCGGAGAGTTGTTTTGAATGGCGTCATGCAAGGATGCAAGCGTAGCAATGAACTGAACGAATTATACGCATATATGCACGTTATGAATTTGTCACTAATCCGTGAAGATGATCAATAATAATCAATCGCTTTATTGTTCATCTTCTAGAACGTATACTTTGGATGCCGATGCGCTTCTGCCGGTAACAACTGACGAACGGTGCTTTGCACGGATCAGGTGAAGTGAGCTTTCTGCCTGATCGGCACGACCCTCAGCATCTTCCAACTCTCTCTGATATCTTCGTACTCGTTGTATATTGGCCATTGTAAACGATTCCTGCAAATCAATTGCTCTCTCATTTATGAGATGCGTCTATCAGTCACGGACCCACTCAACTGAACAATCATCTGCACAATAATCAACGCTTAGTAGATAGCGTGAAGATATTCTTATTCCTTATCAGATTTGGTCTTTTTGTGTGTTTAATTTTGGAAAAACGCGAATTTATCCAATTTTTAAGGTTTATGGCTTAAAGCACTTCCAATAAACATGCCATTATTAAATAAAATGCCGTCATTTGGATACCAATCCCTTCAATACTTTGACAGAAATTTCAGTCATCAGAACTTCATGAATTTTAAAATCAATTAGACAGCAGAAATCGATGGTCGAACTATGAAATTTAAAATCATGCGCAGAATGAAGTTCGATAAGCTAATAAGGCATGATTAATCTACTGACTATGCATCATTATATTTATTTGCGAAACGATTGCGGCTAGTTTATGAGAGGAAATTGGAACGGTAAACTAACTGCTTCTCCTAGCTGTCGTTTTTGAATATTCATCTTCTCAAGTAGTCTATCAGCCGTATCTTGAGCCATAACAAATTGTTTGTGCTCTTCGTCGACCTGCATTTGAACCTCTTTGATGCGACGATCTTTCTTCCTGAGAGCATTTTGTGTTTCTTTGTGTCTTCTCGTTTCTTCATCAAGTGCTGTTTCAAGATCGCGAATGCGTGTTTCTAGTTTCGCAATCACACGTTTACCACCAAGAAGTGCGGCCGCTTCAGCTTCTTGAATCTGCACTTGAAGTTGTTTGACTTGCTCTTCGAGTGATCTTCGGAGTGCGTCGATTTTCATTGAATGCTCTTGCTCTTCGTGCAGCTGTTCAATGGCTCGAGCCGCATCAGCAAGAGCTCGGTTGGCGCGCTCATCTGCTGCGTGAAGTTCTTTGGTGGTCTCGTCAAGATCCGCTCGCACTGTACTAAGCTCAGTCTCGAGCTTGTTCTTGATAGTCGTCAGGTTGTTGGTGAGAGAAACGAGCTCAGCGATACGCACCTATAAACTATTCATTCAGTGATCATTTTCTAAGTTGAAACCGTATGAGTTGATTGATTGAATTCTTTTCCTTGCCTACTTACCTCAGCGAAGTTGAACACTGTTCAGAAGTCAGTCCCAGCCTCACATCTTATCATTTGAATTAATAAAAAACAAAAAAGAATGTAGTAATTTGCAACGAACGTTCGCCTCTTCGAGATCAACTTCAGCCTGTTTGCGTGCACGAATTGCATTATCCAAAGCTACCTTGCATTCCTCCAATTCGGCACTGAGAGCCGATATTTTGCGTTGAGCGAGTGCATACTGCAAAAGTGTTATGATAGGAATACATCAACGAACTGCTTGCAAAATAACAATATAAATGATCAAAACAATATAAATGATCCAATCAGTGAGAAAATCATTCAGCTACACATACAGTTAATTTGAGATGCAGAAGTTATTAGTGATAGCAATCGTTCACATAAAAAGACAGTCTTTCATTCTTATACTTGACTGTACAATGATCGTTTTAACCAAAATGAGTGATAAGAAATTGTTACATGAAAGCAGTTTCGTATACCTGATCGAGTGTCTGTTGAAGATGACGCTGAGTGTCTTCAAGAGAAGCTTGCAGGATCTTCATCTGTTCGCTCTGCTTCTTGATCGTCTTCTGTGCTTCAATGTTTGCACGATTCAAGTTGTCTACGGTCATCTCAAGCTCAGCAATTTCAGCCTGATACTTCTTCTTAAGACGAGAGATTTCGGCCTGCAACTGGTCATTATCAGATGCTGATTAATGCATTTAAAACTCATCAAATCAGATTGGCAGTTGAAAGCTTCTCAGTCTCATGATATATAGCAGATGAACCTTCATGCGTGCTTCCGCATCAGCCAAAGCGGCAGTGAGGCGATCGATTTCGAATTGCATATTTTTGCGGAGTGCTTCCATCTCTTCCTCCTGAAAATGCGTTCAAATCTTAGCCGTCTGTTCTGACTTACTCAAAGGCATTCATGATTCCAGTATTCAATGAAACAATTCTTGAAAAGAGCTTCGTAATGGAGTGCCATTTCAAAGTCTGTCGCAATAATTGAAATTAATTGAGCAATTGCAAAACAATTTTTGTACATGAATTTTAAGTTGAACTCACCTTCTCTTGAAGACGCCGTTCCATTTCAATACGCAGTTGTTGCAAATCAGCAGCAAGTCGTTGTGCACGGTTTTCAGCCTCACGTCGTGCTGCATCTGATTCTTTCAACGCGGTTTGTAAATCGCGTATCTCACCAGCAAGACGAGCGTTCTCCAGGTCAAGTTCATGAAGTTTACGGTTGGCATCCGCAAGCGCCTCTTTGGCTTCATGTAATTCGTCTGTAATAGTTGCAGTTGTTTGATGCGTCGTTCTCGAACCATGTCACGTAACGTAATTCAGTGAATATGATATGATATTATGGCACATTCAAAACGCTAAGTCTGAAACTTCCTCTAAAAGGATATTATAAGTAGGACTGTGGGAATGCAGACCTTGAAGTTTCTTGTTCTCTCTTGCAAGAGCTTCCTTTTGTTCGACAGCCTTTTCATATAGACTCTTCATCTTTTGGAGTTCGGCGAGAGCAGCACGAGCTTCACGCTGAGCTGCTTCCAACTCTATATTTAGCTCATCGATGCGATTCTATAAAATCGCTTCAGTTACACAAACAGAAAATGTATACTGAAGTTCATGTTTTGTGCTGAAAGAAATAAGAAACAATCCAGGAAAAGAAACGAATTGGTGAATATGTAAGAAGAATGTACAATGTGCTGTTGACCTACAAGAAATCATTATTTATATTGCTATCTTTTATATGCTATGATAAAAGTTTGTAAGGCTGAAAACTGGAGCATTTCGAGAGGAAAAGTTTTGGGGTTTTTATTCCCAAACATGGATATGGAATTGGTACCAATAATTAACATATTCGTTCATACCTTCATATCAGTAACCGTTTTTTCTAGTTGCTCCTTAGCGCGTTCGAGTAGTGCAATCGTGTTTTGTGCCTTTTCAAGATCTACGATTAGAACTTCGACCTCACTTTGTAGTCTCGATTTAGCCTTTTCGAGTTGTGATACTTTTTGCAACATTATCTCGATTTGCTCTTCATATTCAGCCTGTTTTTGCAGCATCTTCTTTCGCAGATCTTCGACCTATATGAAACATCTTCTTCATCGACATGTTCAATTTATTGATCACATTCTCATGAAAATAATAAATTTACTCTGATCATTCAGCTAGATCCCTATGAATGAGACACATTACCTCTTCGTGATGAAGTGCCACTTCAGCATCGAATTTACTCTTCCACTGGGTGATTTCGGTATTGGCTAATGTGAGCTTATGCTCAGCCTCCGAACGTGCACTGCTTTCTTCGTCAAGAGCCGTACGTACTGAATCAAGCTCAAGTGTTACTTGATGCAGCTGAGCTTGCATTTGCGACCGCTCCTGCAACCAGATACGACAATGATTAATACACCAACGTCAAGAATTTGTCAGTATGGTGCAGTTTTTTCAGCTGAATGAATTCTTCATGAATTTTCAATTTTTGTGAGATGCATGTGAAAGCAGTGAAATATTCGAGAATGCATTGGTGAAGCGCATGACCGTTGAGGGTATGGAAGAGAGAAGACCTAAAACGATAACTTACACGTTCAGCATCTTCGAGACGACGACGAGCTTCTTCCAGCTGCTGAGCCAATTGATATTTCACATGTTGCAAATTATCAAGTTGTACTTTTTGGTCATGTACCTGCAAAAAGCGTTTTTCATTTCACCTCTTCTTTCAAAATCATTTGCTGCAAGATCATCACATCGGTGCAGCGGCAAGTTGAGATGCAACTATACCACGGAACTTTATTATGTATGCATTATAGTGCATAAATTCGATATTCAATGAATTTTTTCTTTCGTTTTCCAGTTCTGTCAGTATTTGATGTTCATAACATTGAAAAAGATACTTCTTTTAGAAGATCGTTGTTCTCGACTTGTAACTTTTGTCTCTGTTGTTGCATGTCGACGACATGTCTGTTAAGGTCCTCGACTTTCGTCGCCAATTCGATCGATTGCGCCTCGAAACGTTCAGCTGCCTTGTCAGCTGCATGCTGAAAGAAATTTTCAACTCATCTTCCGTAGCGATCGTGAACATGATAGTATTGTTAGACCAAAAATGGAACATCGTCGTTCAATTATTAAGAAAGTCAGAGGTCATGGCAAAAGAATGATTGACCAACCGGAACTCGAACCAAGCAGCAAGTATATGTATTTATATTACAAGATACTATTCGTACAATTGAATTTAAAAAAGATTATGATGCGAATTTCTGTGAAGTGGAACAACTTATTATGTTGTTCCTATTTGTAATAACCAGATGAATTGGTATGTAGCATGTTGTTTTTGGAATTTAAAAGCTGATACCGGAATATATGTCAATATTAGAATGAACGTCAATAATGAACTGAGATCAATTATCAGTTGAGATCAAAACGACAGCGGATAATTAGTGGTTGTTGAACCCAAACAAATAGATCTGAATGGAAAGACTCTGAACGAATAGATCAGAAAATATTCGTTTTCAAATGAGCAATAGAGACTGCATGATGATGTAATGTATCAAACAGAAGCGCTATAATTTTCCATTGGAAAAATAAACCATTGTTTTGTTCTGTGTCATTTATTTGCTAATTCAGAATATGAATAGCAGGAAAAGTGATCTAAAGAAACCTGAAGCAAGTTACTAGCTGAAAGTGCATTTTTATGATCAAATTCGTTTGAATCGATGAATTTTTGAAATTCTCTGAGACCGGTGTTTAGCGAGAAAATCAGAACACGAATCATCAGAGGCATAGCTGACTTTAGAGCAATTGATGAGAATAGCAGGCATCAATATTGATGAGGCGAAGCTGCAATCGCTTACTGAAGTATCTCTACATAGTGCATGCAGAAAGAATGAAATAGACGACTGTAGATTAGGATATTGTTATTGTTCACAATAAGCGAACAGGAAAACTTTTGTTATTTGCTATTGGTTAAACCATTCCGTCAGCTTTTTCACTGAGTCTACAAAGTATGATACAATCAAAATCAGTCGTAATTTTATCTGATGCCTCCATTTTTTTGGTCATTGATGAATATGTATATTCGAGTGCTTGAATGCTTAAAATTTCTACACTTGATGTAGAAATTCTAAAATGTTGATGTGAAAGAATTCGATCGACGATTAGTAGTTAATAAGTGCTTAATAATTTTATCATACATGATAATGATTTTGATAGTATTTTTGAAATGATCCTGCTTATTTGACGATATCGTTTATCAGTTCAAAAATTAACCCTCAATTTGCAGAGATTTTCACATCTCGTTTACAGTGGGCAAAAAAATTCGTGATGAAAAATTGAAAGCTTTGTGATACAATATATGTTATTTCTTAATCACAAAACCGGACATATGTATGTGCTTTCAGCGCGAACAATAAATATTTTGCTTCTTGTGCGATATGTGTGAACCATTTATACACAAAGTTCTGCTAGATCAAATGAATAAAAGCAATTTTTGAAACGATCCAGAGAACTATAACATAGTTTCGTTCAATGAGATTATCCCGCTGACAATGTGGTGGATAAGCAATATTTTAAGTAAATGATTAATTGATCCGTGAAAGACATTTCATGATCTCATGAATCCATCGAATCTACGAATCTGTTTCTTCTTTTACCTATGAATCTAAGAAAAATTTATTTGCGAATTGTTGTAGCGATTGTAAATTGAACTTTCTGGTTTACGAAGCTACACTCATATCTGTATGTGTGCGTTCAGTAAATTAGTTTGAGTTTTTTCACCAGAGAATAGTAGCGAATGTTGACATAAAACTAGACTGAAGTGCATAGAAGAACGCAAAGTAAACTGTAATTGGGTTTTGTAAATTCACTTTTAAAAAAGCCAAATGAATGAATGCACGACACTAAGCAATAATCGAAAAGGATGTTTGAATAATGCATTCTTCTAATTTCACTCTCCTCAGTGGACTTCTTGCTGCAAAGTTAGTTCATCTAAAGTTGTTCTCTTCGTGTCTCTTTAAAAGAGGACAGTTATGAGTGAGCATAAAAAGTGCATCTGCATTAGTGATGTTTCTGTTCCACACTTTTGAGAGACTGTTCTATTCTGTTTTATTCCACACTTCAGTTGTTATGTTCTGTTCTATTCTCCGCGTCTTTTTCTACAGAACTGTTCTGTTGTATTCCTTGGAATGTGTTCTATTCCTTGAAAGAAATGCCTTGAAATAGAACAGAACACTTCCTATTGCTCGGAATAGTACAGTTTGAAATATTACTAATCTGGATGGAGAGTTCTTATGAAGTGAACAAAGAAGCATTTAAGAATGACTTATTAAGAAGATCATTAATGCGATCTTATCTGTTCACTTGTTTCTGAATGATAACGATCACATCTCGTTGAAAAACTATGAGACAGCCACATTGGTTGAATGATAGATTGTGAATGTTGAAGAGTCAGGAGAGAGAAAACTGAATATACCTTATCCTTTTGCACTTGATCAATACTTGCAGTCAGTTCAATTACTTCATGCTGAAGTCGTTGACGTTCACGATCCAGCCTGAAATTTTTGATGTAGCATCATAAATCAATTTCAAATGTTTATTAGTCAACAAGCGTTTCTAGACCATGCCGATCTGAGTTTAAATAAGCTTAAGCATAAACGCAATTAAGCAATCTTCATTATCTCTGCATTTCGCTGCTTAACTTCTCATCTGTATTAATATGATGTTTCCTCTCTATTCGTTCTTCATTGACATTCAAAACAGCACCAGCAATGAGCCATCTTCTTCACATGTTTGTTATGCTCGCTGTTCAATGAAGCTATGACTACTATGGCTCTCTTTCTTATTCTAATCACTAGCGTGTCGACGCAACGCGTTTGCGAGCATTTCTAAGAAGAGCGCATTTGCTGCATCAACTTTAGCTCGTTCTCTACGACCACTCGCCTAATCACCAGTTGTCTCTATTCATTCTTGAACATTACACCGCAATGCATCATTATCATCAATATGATTTGAAACACAAAAACGATATAGAATGGAAAAGTGGACGATGGAATGCATGTTTTTCACTTTACACTCTTCAAAATTTGGTTCTTTCGAATGGATCTGATTAGATGAAGTGCATTAGCTGAGCAGTAAGCATAATAGAGCATATTGCTAAATCTAAGTTCTCGATGGGTAGCAGTATTCCATTCACAAACTCATCGTACTTCGAATTCTTCTTATGCAATTGCTCGATTTGTTCCGTATAATCGAGACATGAATCCTGATGCTTTTTCCTCAGCACATTCATTGCATCTTCATTTTCAAGTTGTGACTCTTCGAGTAATTTGCGCAACTTTTGCAGTTCTGCTTCGCGTTTTCGATTTGATTCAATCTGAAATCTCATCAAATAATTCTCATGAAACTCTTGACATAGCAAAAAGCATTATAAGAGTTTTTAGGTGATGTTTTTCCACTGAGTAAGATGCCTTGATTTTTGACTAACTTGATCATTAGCAATCAGGAAATGGCATGTCCAAATATTATGCAATAACTATTAATAACAAAATATGGATCGACAACGCAACCTATTGCTACTTCAAAAACAGCTAATGGTTGATTATTTTCTTCAACCTAATAATTTCCAATATTCATCACTCAGTGCAAGTTATTCGAGCAGCATTAACCTGACTATCGGTACTGCCTTCTGCATCCTCAAGCCTGTCTGTAAGTGCAATGAGTTGAACGCTCAGATCAGCTCTCTCTCGTTCGATCTAAAATTTCATCTGATCATAAATGTAGAACAGTTGCAAAACAAAGATTCAATGAACCGCATTTATCACATTATACTAGAAAGTTTGATCGAAATCAGTTTGAAAACGGCATTAATTGCAAGATGCAATATTCAAGGCGATGATTTCTCATCTTAACTTACTCTATTTCGGAGTTCTCGTTCAGAGTCGAGATCCTCTTGGAGGAGGCGAATCTTATCCTGAAAACAAAACAGGTAAACAGCTTTAGATGGCATTCGCAATAAATTGCTGTCTTAAACAGAAAATGAAACGAATGAAACAAATTAGTATGCACCTCAAGGCGCGTAAGACTTCCAAGATCAGCAACCGACATATTTCCAAACGGAGCACCGGCAAATCCGCTCATCGAAGGACTCTTGTAAAGCGCTGCCGAAGGACTTCTGTATAGCGAACCAGACATGATGATCTATCTGACACTCGTGTGAGATTGCAGCCGCCTTGAGGCTATCGAACTAAGTCGAGTACTGACACAAATGCTTTACTCACTCAGTGAACATATAGCTTAACAGTGTAAACCACATCTCCCACAGATCCCGAAATAGTTCACTTATCCTCCTACCTTCACGCTATCTTCTCATTTACTCTCTCCAAGTAATTACTCTTCTAACTTTTCTTCTTATGCCTGTATTCTCAAAACATCTGACATTCGCCTAAGCAGGCGTCTATTCGGCTCATTTCTCTCTTGGAATGCCAACGGAATCGGTGACTCCGCCCTACGAGAATACACATGGAATCAATAGAGTGACCATTGGTAGCGATGCATGAGATGTCGGGATATCCGTCGCTGCTGGAGCCGTGTCGTCGTCGGCTTCCAGCGACTCCATCCAGGAGATCTTCTTCTCCACGAATGCTGCCCACGCCACCTCCTACATCACCAGAATTTCGACCACCTTCATCTTTGCTTGAACGGCGCCCTTCTGGCCGCAAACTTCCAATGACTCCAACTGTTTCTGACACCGAATGGCCGTTATCCTCTCCAGTGGCTCAACGCAAATTTTCTGAATTGCGTGAACCACTTAGTGCATTCATGAATGCACATTCTCCCTTAAGTCATCAACACGTTTCCTCAGATCACTCAGTTTGTACTCCATGCAGCACCAACGCGCCATCGCGAAGTTCTTCTGTATCACATTCGATTGAACAGGTGCTTATTTACTTCGAATCTCGAATCATACTGCTTTTCGTTCTGATTCAGCTTCGAGAACCTACGTGCCTTTTCAATCAGAAAATGAATTCATTTGCAACTCAGTTAGAGCTGAAGCATGATAACCGTTTCAGTTAGCTAGTAAATCGAGTAGTGATACTGAAGATCCGTCTGCACATGGAATAGATCCAACACTGTATCAAGCGGGTACTGCCACATCTAGTTCAGTGCCTGATATTGCCAACTCTACTGCTGTTCCAACAAGTAGCTCATGGCCTGAGAGTGAACCTCGGCCCACTGGTTTGGGACTTGTTCATTGCTCCCTTCAACATTTTCCTATTCGCAAGCGTCTTCGCGTTTCAATTCTCAAAATTGAAGGTACGAACTTAGAATTAAACGTGCTATTGTGATATCAAATCAAATCATACATCACCCGCAAATCCATTACTTGTTTTTCGCCAGTCATTCATACAATCACCATAGCAACTCAATCATATTTTGTCTAATTATATTTTCAATCTCGTTTTTGTGCTCTTATAACTTCCGATCCCTGAAATACGAAATATACACAATATCCGCAATGAATATCCGTCTAACTATACTCTCATTAAGCATTTCTTTCAAAATCTTTGCCAACTGCTATTCATTAAAGTGCAGTCATCTCTGAATAGGGTTTCAGTTAATATTCGTTTCTAATCTTAGATTTTTAATTTCTTATTGTCCAAATAATTGACAATTTGAAGTTCTCGACTAGAATCCCGCTTCTTCTATGACCTTTATGATATTGTAGCAGTTTCAATTCAAAAATTCCACACCCACATCTTCTCAACTTTGTTTCCAAAATATTGAAATGGAAGTGAAACGCACGTCTCTTGTGCACAACTTCAATCGTTTGTAGTGGAGGGCTTTTCAACTACTTCGAAATCACGTATTGCGAATGAATATTTCGCTCATAGTTTGAAACATTTTGCATAGGATTTATTTTTATCACTTAATTTGCTCACATGTTCAATTATGGAACACTGTTAGCCTGCTGCGATTCAGGTTTGGCTGGACAATTGAAGCCAGAATTGGAAATTCATGCATTCTGCAAAGTGTCCATACTACCTGGAGGGAAATCACAGAATTCGAACGTGAAACGTGGCCGAGACGTAGTCTTTAATCAGGTGCATATGGGCATTGCCAGTTTTCGAAGTCGAAATTTATTTGTACTTAATTCCATTTCACTTATATACTTTTGCCGAGAATTTATTCGAAGGGCGCCTGATATGACCAGATATGATGTCATTTATGTTTGTTTGTTAAATAAGATAGACTATTCAATCTTCGGAAGTGTTTTCTGCCTTAACGCATTGATTCGCCTTTCTATAGTGTTCACAGATTGACAAAGTTGTTTTGAGTAAAACGATAGCTCTAATGTTGGATTACGTTACTAAGGGCATAAGAATACATGATGATGGGTCTCATTATGGGAGTGAAAAAATAATCGAAAGGAAAAATAACAAAGTTAGCCGAATTAGAATGCAAAAAGACAAACAGCTTTATTTGAGTTGCACAACAATGAGCTGCTCGTTGATTGGATATGAAAAAAGAACAAATTGTTTAGGAATTTTTCTTTGACGGTATCACCAGTGAGGACTTGAACGAGAAATGCCTGAGCATAACAGTGTGTCATCAATCGATGCAAAAGCTGCAAAAGCATATCATCATCGGTGATCTGTATTTGCCACTCAAAGACCTCAGTGAGTTACGCTCTAAGAAAGAAGTTCGCGTTATCGAAGAACTTAAGCATCGAATCAATTCTAAAGTAAGCTTTCACCATTAATTAGCTTATCCACTTTTATATTGGCTGCAAAGAATGACGTTTGCTCAACTTACAACGAATTGTTACTTAAATACTCATTTGCATTTTGTTATTGTCCCAAAAAAGAGCATCTTTCGAATTCCCAGAGGTACGCCTATAAGTGTATTATCAACTGGGTGTTGATGAAATGTTCATCAAGCTTTTTATTGGCTATCATCACTCGCCCTTCTTTCAGAAACTCGGCAAGATCCATATAGTAACGTGTATCGAAAAGGATGCACGTCGTCTGACCATCACAATAAATAAAGCAGATGATCTGCCTAAAGGTGGCATCACCGGACCGCCAGGTCGGTTGTTTAATCGTTCAACATAAGTGTGTTTAGCAATGAGGATATTGATTATACAACAGATGAGACTAAATTAGAACAGAGTCAAAATATGGAATGATTGATGGATCAGAAATTCCTAGGAAACATTCATCAAGTGAAATGAGCATCGCATCACTTGAAAGAAACACTTTAGAACGCAATGCATGCTATCGAATTAGCCGCATTCATAGCTAATAGAAGAGCTATGCGATTGACGCACTGAAATTATCATTCATGTCTATTCCATTGTTCTAAACGCTAGTAATAGCACATTGCCTAAATACCAATTGATTCATGTTGTATTCGCATCATCTAATCTCCACTTATCTTACCGCACATACATCACAGTGAACAACGAGCTGCTAATCGATCTTTTTGTTTATCGTCATTGATTTGGTGCACATGATGACTACTGCATGAAAACACGAATAATGTGTGAGGTAGCAACAGCACAATAATTTGATGTTGTTTGCAAGTGACGTTGCTTAACAGCGTCGCTTTTAACTCACCTTTTTGTGGATCAGTTCGGAAAGTAATGCTTATTTATTTCTTCAATGTGGTGATCATCCACTTACAAAAAAATAATGAAAAACAACAAAAAAATCTGATCAATTCAAAAGTTATTTAAAACTTACAAATAGATGATCACTGAAGCAATGGAATTATCTCAAGCAGTGCAACAAAATCAATCAAACGACTTAAAATGAGCTCTTTGGGTATTTGATGCGAAAGTTGATTACGTTCAAGGCTGTTAGTTAGCATCCTAGAAGAATAATCATAAGTTGTTTGATATGAGCTTGTTTTGATCGAGGGAAGCTAGAATTTGATTCACGGGCTACAAACAGATTTAGTGGCTCATTCAAGGTGCATTGCATTCTGCACAGCATAAAATACTTGCATGTGCAAATAATTTACCTTCAGATGTATGCGTTCGAATCAAAGTGACCCAAGGCAGCATGTCACAAACGAAACAAAGTCGCGTTCTCAAGAGTACTTGCTGTGCTGTTTACAAGGAGGCTGTAATGTTTCTGGTGAATACAAAACTGACTGAACTGCAACAAACAAGCATCATGATTTCCGTGCACGACCTTTCCAGGTATCTATCTCTTGATTATGATCTTGTTCCGCGGTGATGTTATCAGCTGAAACGAGAAAGCACCAAAGAAGGATGCGTTAAAACGTCGCATTGTGGTCTTTTTTACCGCTTGTATAGCTTCATCATGTGATCAAACGAAACATATTTGTCTATACTTAAGTTTCATTCACTTATTATCAGCAATGTTATTCTGAATGACCGCTCGATTATCAAGCAGTGTTTTGAATATATTTTGGAAAGTAAGTGAATGAGATCAGCCAGTCCATTACAATAAACGGATTTATAAAGTAATATCAACATTGGACTTCACTCTTCATTTTATTTGGAAGTTTCTCATGTATTATTTGTCCATTTGCACGGCTATACTTTATCGAATTTTTGTGTGGCAATAGCTAACAACTCGCTCCCGAATGAGGCAATTAGTGAATGAATTGAATCGCACTGAATTGGTCAAAATTTTCCGCTGATTTTTAGGATGCTTAACATCATTAATCGTTAGCCTTATTTCACTCGTTTTTTGCTGGTGTGTAATTCTATTTTCGCGATAGAATTTTAAATATGAAACGACTAGCTGCCGAATCAATGAATTTGATCGGTGCAGTTCATCGATGCGATTTGGATTTGCAAGAGCAGTTGTTGAATGAAGTGTTATATATTGAAAATAGATCAGCCACTGGTAGATGATTTTCTTTTTAGAACAACAACAGGTGACGATCTAATAGGATCGGCGTTTTTGGGTGTGAATGCTGTGGATAAGTCAGAAGTGGAACAATGGAAGAATACGATTGAACATCAAGGCAAGGAGTACAAAGGAACGCATCATCTAAAGCCAGCACCTCGTGCTCCTGATGTGCACGTTGCTGAGGCACCGTCTGATTCCGAATAAGTGAAACTGATGTGCGTTGGTTGTGCATTACGCTACTGCCCTAATCAATGCAATAGTTGTTATTGTGCTTTTGTAAGGGCGAAAATAACCACATGTAAGGGCACTCTTCATCAGCTGATCACATTCTCCAGTTTTAAAAAATTATTCACGCATTCTTCTCAGCTATGGTAGGCATAAGCGCTTCTCTCGCCTCATTGAGTGTTGCCTTTTCAACATTACGCAATAAAAATTTGTTTAAAAACTCGTTCATCATTTCGTCACCCTTTCGTCTCTTCTCAATTTGTTCACGCATTGAATATTGTCGTCATGACCTTACTTCCAATAGCATCTTGCTGCTTGCTCTGTGATATTCCACTTAAAAATATGCTGCGCTTTGATTAAGCAATTGACGTTTTAAACAAATACTTCTGCACTACATTACTAGATAGAATATGCCGAAGAATTTGTTTAGTCTATGCTGAAAAGGTGCTATTCGTGCGAGTTTTTCGATTATAATAATTCAGTTGCCGTCAAGTATTTGATGATGAGTCATATGTATTTACTAAATGGCGAACGCTAATGATATTAATGAAACTTCTCGGTTTACGCTTTCTAGCAATTAGCGAAGTAAATCGAAACGTATATGGATAGTTTCATATGTCAGATCATTTGCTGCTGCCTCGAAATTATCTCTTTTGAATCTAACTTCTGCAAGTGAATGCTGAAAACAGTGGATGGTTGTTTGATGAGAGAACTGATTGCATAAAGTCTGATGATACATTATGTTTAAATCTTTACCATCAAGTAGCAGTCATTTATAGCACTCGAAAATCATTGCAAATCACTCAGACACATCCATCAGAACAAAACATCTCTGGTAAAATGCATTAATGAATAATCATTCAACGTCCATGACTTGTTCGTTGTTCGTCGTCTACTTCAAAATCTACAGCATTCCCGACGTGTTTCACAAATGTGAATCATCGATCCGTCACCAGTATTTATTAATAGCCATGTCATCATATCTGTTGATTATCCATTCCACTTTTCCACTTCGTGCGTTATGATTAAATGAGATTATATGAAATAGATGCTGATGATCATATTCAGTATTTATCTTATCGAATAGTTACACTCTCCATCATCCTCTTTCTCTTTGTTTCCGTCTCTTTCATTGTTTCTGGTTGCGAATTATTTTATTACGCCATTTATAATCGTGATGAATTCAAAAGAAACATTTATCAGATAGTATCGTGACGTTTTCATGCAAAAAATCCACCTGAAACAGTGACTGTTTCTGGGGAGCATTTTGATCTTGCAGTGATAATCTGTAATAGTCATTTCGAATTCCTTCACATTTTTGCGGAAGCCTTTTGCAAACGCTTTGGAAAGAAAAAGTTAATGAGAACTGAATAATGATCTGGTATTTCTGAATTTCCCAGAACTGAGATAGCGACTGTAATTGTACGTGTAAATCAAAAAATTGTTTTTCGGAAAATTAGTGGTTGATGCAGTCATAGTGACAGCTGAACTTGTACAGTTGCTGTAAATCAATTCAATACATCCTTGAGACAGTCTTTTTCATGAACTGAAAGTGGGAAAGGATGAGGCGCGTAGACTGGTTTACTAAGGGTCATTTTCGTTAAACGTTTGATTTGGTAAATAGTTCGCGAACATACTCGATGAATAACTTCAGAATGGGCGAGAGAAGTGCTAAAATTGAATGAATATCGAACAGTGCTACCGAAAAATCACTACAAGTTCGGGAAATGTGGCCAGAAATATAAGTGAAGTGTGATAGTGCCTTTGGTTTATGTGTGTTCGTGTTTGTGTCTGCGTGCATTGAAGTGTTTGCGTTGTGCTCTTGAAATCGATGCTTCATCAATTTCTCTGATGAACACACTCATTTATCTGATTGCTTATGCTAATATCAATCATTCAAATGAGGGACTAATAATGAGGAAGAGCATGAACAGCAGTAATATAGGAGACGAGACGTTTCATTATCATATAACAACATACAACCGCTCTCTCATCATAGAAACGTGCAACGTTCGGATGTAGCTCCATAAAAATCGTTATTATCGTTTTTCAGTAAGCTCCCATTATCTCTTTTCTCAAAGAAATTGTCATTTGATGCGTAAACTTTGAAATGAAGATTGCATGTATATGAAAATGAAAGAAGGTTTACCTCGGAAATAACTTTGGGTCGGCAAAAGATCCTCTAAGTGGTAGTCACACGAGAAAAGAAATACGTCTTTTGACTTTATTGGATGTGCATTTGTCTATATTTAACATTCAAAAATTTTAAACTCATGTCTTTATGAACAACCGTCATGTTTGCATTTTGCTTTATGTGCAAATTGTTGTTTTTTGCCGCGTACGCATTCCTGTCTGTGTTGCTATGTGAAATAATTGATTGCAATCACTTACACTTCTGTTCAGATCTCAATTTATCTCTGATCTCACTGAAAATGCGCTGATATCATTCCGAGTAATCAACTGAATTATATACATATACAGTACTCTCGATACCTGAACGAATGAATTCATTATATGCAAACGTATATATCATCAATCATGTCATATTTTAATTGACTGCGCCGCTTGATGTTGTTTGCTTATGCTCGTTGTTTTCGAAATGAAAAGTTGTGACAAAAAGCCATTGAGCACAGCTGCTTTCTGCAGTGAAATTCGTTCAGAATAAAACTTAATATACCACAGTTCATCACTCGGTTTGCTTCGTTTTCATTTTTCAGTGCAACATACATGCACAGGAAACGACACAAAATGCAATTTAACATCTCATTATCATTTCCACCAAACTTGCTTCCTCCTTGCTGTATACTTTTACATATATATAT